TTCCTTTACTAAGTAATGTATTTAAATAACTCAAGTCAGAATCCTTCTAAATGCTGCATACTGTTTATTCCCCCTGTAAGTATATAAAAGCTGATATTTCACAATTAAAGTAATAACATTTCCATATTGCATTTACTTAGAAGAAAAATCTTTCTGATCCAAAAAGATCCTTGTTTTCATGAAACTGGCCAGGGTGAGTCTCAGGCTCTCGGGCTTGGTGAAGGACAGACACTCTGTCTCAGCCACAGTAGAGCATGCTGGCTGTGCAGGTGAGGCCACACGGGGGGCCTGGATTCAATTCCCAGCCCATTCTGCTTGTAGTCTCAGTTACAGGGAAGGTGATGCAAGATCAGGGCATGGTGAAAGCCTGTCTAACCACCACCCACCAAAAAAACCTGGATAACTTTATGTGACATTTGGGACATGTTCTTAAAACAGTCTAGTTGACTCTTACACAACATGATGGTTAGAGGCACCAGCCCTTGTGCAGTTGAAAATCCGAGTTAACTGTTGACGATCCCAAAACTTAACTACTAATAGCCTATTGCTGACCACAAGCCCCACCAATAACAGTCAATTAACAAACTCTGTATATCATTATACACTGTATTCTTAAAGTAAGTTAGAGAAAATACACTTAGAGTCTTTATTTTTAAAAATCCAATTTGAGTGGACCTGTGTAGTTTAAACCCGTGTTGTTTTAGGGTCAACTGTATATAAAGCAAAGCAATCATTCTGTTTTTCTAGGTGCTCTTACATGTGGGTATTAAGAATTATGCCTTAATTTTTAATTAAATGGCAAGTTTGGCAGCAACTAGAATATACAAATTTTATAAGCTTAAATTGGCCAAAAATTTCTAGGCAATTTTGTTTTGGAATATTGTAAATATTTTAAAAATCCACATTAAATAAGATCATCCTTAACTCGAAAACATCTTTCCTTTTGAACCCAATGCATCCTTTTCACAAGAACAATTACTTTAAATGCAAATACAAAATAATTGCATCTTGAACATACATGGAACAAATGGAGCAGAAAAATGAATGAATATAACCATACACTCCAAACTAGAGTGTCAGACAAGTAAGATTTGGGAAAAATGCAACTATGACCTTGGCTCTAACTCAAAACTTACTCAAGACAACATGATAATCAAGATACCCACTCCCTGCTGAAGACACAAGACACACAATTAAGACTTCTTAGACACTGATGTGGATTCCTTAGTAAGGAGCTGTCTGGACATAACTTCCTGGGACAAAGTAAAACCACTTGGGGCTTTATTTTCTCTGGACCTTACGCATCATGAGGGTCTGAACTATCCCACTCCAGGAGCAGACCTGCTTCACTTGGTCTCTTTCTCACAGCGCTCTGTGCACATTCTGTTGTCCAGACTCAGTATATCCAACCTCCCATAAACCCCACTCACAAGATCTTGGGGCAAAAGTCTTGTCTTTGCCACTCTGACCCCTTTGTTACCACGAAGACTTGTAGAAAGCGAACAACTCATGATGCTGAAGACTACATTTTGGAGGTGGGTAACTGCAATGGATTGCATATCTGTGTCCCTCCAAATGTATGTTTTGAAAACCTAATCCCCAACGTGATGGTGTTCAGGGTTAGGGCCTTTGCGAGGTGATTAAGGCGTGACAGTGCTTCTCTCATGAGTGGGATTAGTGCCCTTTGACTGTAAAAGACCCCAGAGAACCCTCTAGCCTCCTTGCCACCAAGAGAGGACACGGCAAGAAGACAATTGTCTATGAAGCGGGCCCTCATCAGATACCCCTGATCTTGGGCTGCCCAGCCGCAGGAATTGTGAGAAATAAAAGGTAATTTGTTATAGCAGCTATGATAATTTGTTATAGCAGCCAAGATGGACTAAGACAGTAATAAAAATAACCTTTTGCTCCAATTCTTCCAAGAGCTTTTTAAAATCTTGAAATAAGGAGGTTAATGTGCCTCCTGATAAATTTCTCATAAAGCTTCAATGTCAACATCTTTTTTTAATAATTAGGATGCATTTCATCAAGAAGGCTGAGGATTAATAATTCATATTACATAGACTTGCAGTGGAAGGTACTGACACGTGTTAAACACATAAAGTTTCCTATTTGTTTATTTAGATGCCCATTTGGCAAGGGTAACAGTTTACATAGATATAAAGTGAAACAAAAGTCAAGCATTTTCAAAGGCACAAAAAGTTTCAATTTATATTCTGTTTTTTAAAAACTAATCTTTTTTTAAACAGGTCATCCCTTAATAACAGAAAGCTGTTTGTTTATTGCCGACATCTGAAAGCATGAATCTGCGACCCCAAATGGATGCATCACAATGAAATGAAAAGCAATGAGGCTTCTTACTTCTAAGTTGTAGAGCACTCTGAAGGTGGACATCCCCGGAGCAAAGGACCGAAACAGGCTTTCTAAAATAGAGCTGGCACTGGGCTGATGCTGCTGCTTTGAAGAGAGGGATGGAGATTTTGAAGACTGAGAGGTTGACTCAGACAGCAATGTTTTCTAAGTTTAAAAGAATGAGAAAGAAATGCAACTCTTAAAAGTACAAATTGAAGAGAAACATATCTCAGTACACAGACTGACACTCTATTCCTTTTTAACATAAGCTACACTAGTAAACTTCATGATTATCTTCATAAAACCACACTGCTCTATGGTTAACAAAGCATCCAACTTCATTAAACAAGCTCTAAGCAGTTAATGATATTCAAACACCATATAAATGCTTTTGAGAACACATTCTAAGCAACGTGAGCATGGTCATTTTGTTGCTCTACTGTGAAAAGCTGTACTTCTAAATGTTGACAATGAAAGCATCAGGTTGCTGAAGTGTCAGTCTTGAAAAAATTTTTTCTAGCTAATATTAGTGACATATTTTATATTACTGGGGTGTTAGAAAAGTCATGAGACATGTTTTGCATAGAAAAACACAGAAAATATGTCATGACTTTTCCAACAATCCAGTAGTTCTCTTCTCTAATTAATGTATTAGATGACATGACTAATCTGATCTAAATTTCAACCACTAAAATATAAAACTTAGTACCAGTAACTTCATTCTGAATGAGTTTATTCTGAGAACATGATGTTATATGTAAAACACAATCTTTTTATACAGAAATCTCTTCTGAAACAATATTCTAAAAAAAAAAATTTAAGTGACCTTTAAATAACAGCTGTGGAAAAAAATGAAATGATAAGCCACTGACACAGCAACGCAGACAGGCAACAATCAGATTCAGAGAGACGGTGGGATAGAAGAAAAACAGTTCAGCTAATTAGAACTAGGTCTGATCCTGGACAAGTAATTTCGTCTCTTTGGGTTTCAGTTTCCTAATATATTACACAAGGAAGGGAGAAGTAGGGGATATTAAAGTCTTTTCCAGCCCCCAAGTTTGACATAACAATTGACTCTATCTAGATACTTAAAAGCCAACATAAAGTTCTGATTTCCATCTACAGCAAAGGAATTTTCCAGAAGAAAAAAAAAAATCACAGGAAAGATCGCATATGGCCTTAATGTGATTTCAGATTATATTCTCACTGAGTCACGATGTATAACTCCCATGCCAGTTAAATAACTACTGAAGACACTCATACCTTCCGTCCTAAAGAATCGAGCTGATCAAGCGCTTCCTGAATAGCTGGATCGGTGGGTATCAAGAGCAGAAGCTTTCGTACTCGTAGCGTTATCCTGAAATTTTTCAAATGTAGATTTTTTTTTTCCACATACACCATTTAATATGGGATAACAAAGTAACTTAATATGGATGTAAAGTAAAACACGCCGTGAGTGAAAAGTTACTTGGTTTCCTAATCGAGTAACTTTCCTCTTTCAAGCCTCACAGACATTTCTATTTACCTTGGCTCCTCTAGGTTGGCAAGCTGGTAAAGCATGTCAAATACGTTACAGACAAGAGCCATCACAACGCCGGGGAGGGACTTCTCCTGAGAGAAAAGAAGAAAATATCAATATACACTTATAAAAGAATTTTCTACTTCTCTAGTCCAACTTAGAAACAATACAAGTACTAGGTTTGAAAGGCCGACCAGGCTAAAGCTTCTGGGAGCAGAACACGCATTGGCTCTGAGGACCAGCAAGCAGGACACACAGCAGAGGGCTCGCTACCTCGTGGTGGGTGGCACCTGGTCCCCCTTCTCCAACCACCTGCTGGGGAAGGCAGGTCACAGGAGACAGGGCATATGGAATTACCACAACAGAGAGCAGGCACCACTGGAAGCTAGTCAAAGTTCCATTGGAGTGAGCGAAGTCACGAGTGACCTGAAAGCACACCTGAAGTACAGTACGTGTAGAGGTGTACGAACACGCACACGCGACACAGGTGCACGCAGTTTAGTCTCTTCTAAAGAACGGGAAAGGCAAGATGGATTTAATTGTACTAAAGAGGTTCGGATGTGACTAATGAACTATTTTCTGGTTATAAGAATAAGCTGCTAGAAAGCATTACAGAATGTTTATACGTGGAAATATTTTTAATAAATTAAAGAAAATATGAAATAGTTTAAAAATTGTTTAAACTTGAAGATGCTATGAACCTTTTCTTCCTCCCTTCCTTCCTTCCTTCCTTTGCCAGAAGTGTGTGTTTACAAGAAAGGGTGGGGGAGAGAGAGAGAGAGAGCCCCCAATGAGGTGTGGTCATGCTGCAATCCCTTCTCTTTCATTTCTCAATCTGGTCAGGATTTGGGGCACACATGGACATGTGCCTGGCATGTTTTTAAAGCCAATGGGGCAGGATTAGAACCACAACTGGCCATGTGGGATCCTGCTCCCTTAACAGTAGACCACAGAGTTAACCCTGTTTGTGCTTGAACTGTCATATTACTATGAATTGGATTTCTTAAATTCTGTTAAATACAGTTACTTTTCTATTCCTTTCCTTTTTTGGAGAGGTTTTTGCTATAGGGCACGTGTGCTTTCCAGAAAGACAGAGAGAAACAGAGAGACAGAAAGCGAGAAATCACCCTCCAGGGGGGATGGCCACGCTGTAATCCTTTCTCCTCCGTTCTCCTCTCAGGATCTTGGGCACGCACGCACATGTGCCCGGCATGAGTTTAAGCCTCTGGGTCCAGGACTTGAACTGTGGTCGACTACAAGGGAGTCCAGCAACATAGCCATTA